GCGGGGTCAAACCCGGGCAAGGGTTCCAAGCACTGGGTCTGCAAGTACTGCGAGACCCGGTTCGATGGCACAGCCTCGGTTCTAAAGAACCATTTATTGAATAAGTGCAGCTTGGACCGCGTCAGGAGGCCGCTGTCAGTCGAGGAGAGGGCTAGGAGGGAGGAGGGCATCCGCATGGGGAAGTTCATTGCTGAGACCATACACGAGGGGGGGAGAAGCAGGCCGAGCACAAACAGCCTGGCGTCCGTTAGTAGTCTGGTCGCTGACGCCGAGCGAGGTCGCACTGACTCGCCTGGAGGGACGGGAGAGGCGGTTGTGGCCGATGAACCCGCCGCGATCGTGCCTACCTCTGGCGAGTCCGTGCAGCCTGCACCCCGTTCCAGACGGCTGCTGAGGCAGACGGTCATGGAGGACACCAACAGCATCGTAACACGCAACGAGCAAACGAGTCGGTTCCTTGACCGATTCCTTTTCTGCACGAACCAGCCGTTCAGCATCGTCGACAACGAATACTCCCTTGAATTCGTTGATGCTGTGAAGAAGGCGCATCCGTCGTGAATGCCATACAAGAGGGATGAGGCGCGAACGAAGCGGTTGGATGGTCATTACGGAAGGACGAAGGTGGACGTGCACGCCATGGTGAAGAAGTGGCACCGCATCGGTTGCATGCTGCAGATGGATGGCTGGTCAGACAGGCGTAACCGGCCGTACATTAATGTGATAGTGTCATCCTCGATCGGAACGGTATTCTGGAAGACCACATGCATGGAGGGGAAGGACAAGGATGCGGCGGCGTACTTCTGGATATTGGATGGAGTTGTCAAGGAGATCGGCGAGGAGGCGGTGGTGGGCGTTGTGATGGACAACGCGAGAGTGTGCGTCAAGGCCGGCAAGATGGTGGAGGCAGCCTACCCACGCATAATTCGCGTGGGGTGCACTGCACATGCCCTCGATTTGGCACTCGAGGACATGTACAAGGAACTGGAGTGGTTGCGCAATGTTGTGGACACAGGGTTGAAAGTGGGCAAGTTCTTCCACAACGTGGACAAGGCAAGGGCGTTGTTCCACGTGTACAGTCCGAAGTCCAAGTTGAAGCGGCCGGGGGTGACCCGTTTCGCAACCAACCACGAGATGTTCACTTCCTTGAAGAAGGCCAAGCACCCGCTGAAGAATTGCATCGACGACGCTGCGTGGGTGGAGAAGATGGTCAGGACAGACCAGCACGCTGCGTTCCACGAGGTGACGACCATTGTGTTGGGGAAGGACGACTTTTGGGCGATGGTCGACAAGCCGCTGGCGGTGATGGGGCCAGTAGTGACGCTGCTTCATGTTGTTGATGCGCCGGGGCCGTCCATGTCGAAGGTGTATTTCAAGATGGACTCGCTCGTCGCACGGATGTGCGACCTTGATTGCATCACGGCGGGCGAGAAGGCCGAAATAGAGGACATCTTGATGCGGAGATGGGCATTCATGACCAGCGAGCTGCATTGCGCTGCTGCGTTCCTCGATCCGGAGCACCGTCACACGAATGCCTTGCGAGATCCTGAGGTGCGCGCCGGATTCAACATTTGGCTTCTCTCGTGGGCACTGGACGACCAGCAGACACGTGACGAGCTCAGCCACCAGGTTGACATGTGGGTTAACCTGGACGGGTCGTTCAAATCGCAAGACGCTGCGGGAGCAGCACGTGTGCAGCCCGCGGCTCTGTGGTGGGAGGCTTACTGCGGGAAGCTGGACCTGCTCCAGCCACAAGCAGTCAAGTTGTTGGGCCAGGCAAGCTCCTCCGCCGCATGCGAGCGGAATTGGAGCTTGCACGAGCTTATTTTCGGGCACAGGCATACGAAGTTGCCGCCGGAGAGGCTGGGCAAGTTGGTGTACAGCAACTGGAACACCCAACTATCGCGGGCGGCCTTGCGGGGAGACGGGGGGGATGTGCACATTCCATGGGAGGACGACACGCCGGTGGAGGCAGAGATTAGGGAATGGTACGACACATGGATAACAACGGCCATTGATCCCGCTGCCGTTGCCGCCGACGCCGATGTGGTGGCAGAAGATGTGGAGGTGGGTGAAGAGGACGGTTCGGAGCCATTGATGCGGACGTGGCAGCGAAATGATGTCGCAGATGACGAGGAATGCGACGAGGAGGACATGGCTCTGTTGGGTTCGTTGGAGAGGGAATGGCACGAGTGCGCGAAACCCGGCCGTCGCAGAAAGCAAGACCTGCGGAGAAGATCTGGCAGCTCGCTGCCTCCGCCATCAGTTGTGTACACTGAGGCGGATCAGGCGGCTGCACTCAAGGCACAACTGGCAGGCACTTGGGTGGAAGGTCGACGGGAGTCAACCACCAGGGAAAAGCATGTGAGGAAAAGAGCACGAGCGGCGGGCGAGGCGGGAGGGGCTGAAGCTGAAGTGTGCGTGACCCAGCCAAAGAAGAAGAGGGGTCGACCATCATTGGCTGAAGCTGCAGCAAAGAAGGCTGAGCTGGCAGCAGCCAGGGCTGCTAAAGCAGCAGAAAAAGCGGCCGCAGCAAAAGCCACGGCCGACAAGGCCCGAAAAAAAAAAAAAAAGGTTGCCTCCGTCGATGTGATCGAGGACGACCCGTCAGGTGACGATGAGTCCTCGTCCAGCTCGTCCAAAGACACGGATGAGGGAGATAGCGGAGAGGAGTCCGATGAACACTCTTTGCAGGAGGGGGGAGCAGAGGGGGAGGACATGGAGGGATCCGAGGCCGGGTCCGAAAAAAGCAATGGTGAAGAAACCGGAGATGAAGGGGCGAAGGTGTAGGACGGGGGCTGACCGGACGCGGGGTGTAATAGTTTTGGATTCTGCCCATTGTCGGAATTTTCTTTGTTGAACTTTGTTTCTGAGTTTTTTTGCAGCTATTTCCTTTTCTGTGCTTTAATAAACTTGCAAACGACTATTGGCCCGATTCTGAACTTTTTTTGAAGTTTTTTTGAAGCTAGTTTGTTCCCAGCACATTGTCCAACAATGTCTTTTTTAACTGCTGTCAGTTTGCAAAGGTCGTGTCTTGCCGCTCATCCAATGCTTACAGTGGTCTGCTGGTGCTATCCCCATCATCGTCTGTTGAATGTTGTGCATGTTATGCCATGTTGCTGTCTGGTCCGTCACTGTTAATGGATGACACCTGCAGGTATGTTCTTTTCCGACACCCACTGTTTTCGAATTGTGTTCTGCTGCTTCTGCAACTTGTGCTGCAACGTTGTCTGAATGTGTGCATCAACCTGTCTAAATGTGATTGTTGATATGGTGTTCGTCCGAGTCCTCCAAGTCAGAATGTGCTGCAACGCTGTCTGAACGTATGCAGCACGTAGGAGGACGACACAAGTCACAGAGGTCTGCTGTCCAAACCCACGCACGGACCCCACACCACAGCTGCGCGGACACAGAATGCCCCCCCCCGCCCCCCGCCCGCCCCCCCCCCCCCCAAAAAAAATAAATAAATAAATAAATACAGGCCGGTGCATGGCGCGCACCACCCCCAACGCTGTCCCGCACAAGCGCGCGCAGCGCAGCACAGAGCAGCGCATGCGCAGACGCGCATGCGCACGTGCGAAGAACCTTCCAGCCCGCACAGCGCACGTCCGCATGCGCAGCGCATCGCGCACAGCTGCAGTGCGCCGCAAGTATGGAAATTTGTGAAAACGTTTGACATGCCTGGTACCGGTAGAGGATCAGTTCGACAATGATATCTCAAGGCCAATGATATCTCAAGGCCGGTAGGGCCATTACCTGGGGCTGGTCAGTTCGAAAATGATATCTCAAGGCCGTTGCCTTTTTTAGAAAAAAAGACATGAAAACAAAATCAAAATCCCATCCGTTTTTCATGTAATGCTTCTGTTTTTTTTTCATGTAGCAAATCTGTATTTTGTTTCATGTAGCAAATCTGTATTTTGTTTCATGTAAGGATTCTCTTTTTTGATGTCGTAATTTCTGTTTTCTGAACGTCTATCATAACTCAGGGGATAATCACACTACTATCTCCACCCCAGTAGAACGTTATAGCCGCGTTTCGTGCAAGTTTCAGTCTAGGTACAGTGACAATGACACGGTGTTTTATTCGGGTGAAGACGGTAGGACTTTATTAGATGCATCTGGGTGCAATTACGGCCGACTCTGCCCGGTAAACCGTCGGCAGAGAGGGAGGGACAAAAGGGAGAAGAGGACGACAAACGAGGGGCTGTGACAAACTGTTTCGTTGGAGTCTCAGCGACTCATCAGGAGGCTGAACCCTCAACAGTCTGCAGAATCCCCTAGCTGATTACACTGTAAGTGATAATACACCTTAACCCCGGTTGTGGTTAAGCATCAACGATGCAGATATACACACATATATCTGTCTCTTATACACATCTAGATGTGTATAAGAGACAGGAGAAGGGGGAGATGTGCACATTCCATGGGAGGCCGACACGCCGTTACAACACATGGATAGCAACGGCCATTGATCCCGCTGCTCTTGCCGCCGATGCCGATGTGTTGGCAGAAGATGTGGAGGTGGGT